ATCAACTCCAGTAACAGAAACTCCTGCTGCTCAGGCAACTGATGCCTATTGATGGAAAGTCAACCTTGCATTGGTGGAATTTAACGAAAGAAGGGGAAGGCGAGCTACTGCAGTATGTAAAAGTTGGTTGTCAAAGGCAAGTAGGACCTCTTAAGACAGTCCTACCATTTTTTCACTATGCCTCGCCTTTATTTGTAAAATATTTGAACGCTTCTAGGCACAGGGATCTTAAAGCCGGTGACGCTGAGACGGAAGACCAGACGACACGCTGCGAAATCTGCGCTGAGGCAGAGAAATGGGCCGAGGGCATTATTCAGAGGCCAGCTTTCTGGAGCGAGACCCTGCAAAGACACAACGCAGCCACGCTTCCAATGCGCGCTAAGGGTTTCAAAACCGGGAGGGAGACGCTAGAGTCCACCACTGAGCACACCGTCTTCGTGCCCTCAGATTCCGCTGAAAACACACTGAACAAACCACAGGAACAACAACAACAACAACAACCCGTCTCAGGTAGATGGAATTTAGTTTAAATTCCCATGAGGTACACCTGTGCCCAAGCTCTCCACATTACTGCTATAACGTTAAGCCCACTAAATAGGAAACTACACACTTCTTTAGGAGGAGGAGAAGATGCGATTGCTGGAACAGGAAGTTTATTGGACTGATGTCGGGTCAACAGACCTGCTGTTCCAGCCATCATATCTCCTCCTCCTCCTTCTGAACTTCTTCTTGGGACTCACTTGTTAAAATTCTACTGGCAAGATGCTTCTTCGTCGATAACTCCTGGGGCTCAAACTTTGCAAAAACTGGAGTATCAAGAGGATGCAGGAAATTGCCTCTGCGCCGCAGGTTGATGTATCATGAATTCTTTGGCAGAAATGGATGTGGCAGACTAACAGTGAACATTGCATTAAAGTCAGCTAAATAGCACCTACGTACATGGACCTCATGTAAGCTGACCTGCGTGAAATTGTGCTAGGTGCCTAAAATGTAATAAAAATAGCCGCTAGCTGCATTGATGTGTTTTACTTTACCTGGAAAAGCAATGCCTTGTTGGACGCAGACCGGCGAACAGTCTCTTTAAGAACTTGGTAAACATACAGGGCCTTCCGTGATTTGCTCTGTGTGTTAATATCGGAAGAAGAGGTGTGAATTTACAACTCGTGAGTCTTGTCGAGCGATATAGGTGGAGGGCTCTGTTCCTGGTTAGGTATTTCATCCTTTCAAGGCGCTCCGGACCTGGGTCATTGCAAACCGGCAATATACATTCCGAATAAACTCAACGATCTATAAGAAATATTAGGATTCTAGCAGCGAACCGGGCTGCGGGACCATACAGGACTTATGCACATCATATGGTGTCTTACGTATGGTAGATG